TTCAGCATCTGCACCAAAGCAGAGGTTTCCAGTGTGGAAGAAGACATCATGTCCATCTCATTCTCCTCTAAGGCCTGAGGTCTCTTGTTGGCACTCTGCCAAAGCAAAACATTTTGTCATGAACTAGTCTCCCTAAAACTGAAATGTAGTGACATCTATGTTCCAGCCAAATAAACATCCTCCTGCTCGGATCCTTCATTAAAGCAAACTCAACTAAACTAGTTGCCTTGAGGATCAGATGAAGACCTTGAAAATCTAAGATAGACTAAAGGAAAAAGAAAACAACTATTGACATCATTAAATGTGTCTTAATTAAAACTTTTGAAAGTGCAATCCATGCAGATTCCATCTCCAGTCAATCTCCACACCTCTGCAAACATTAATGAGATTTTTTTTTCTTACAGTCCCCCATTGATCCATGAAGTGCAAAGAGAGAATCAGGATTGCAAACGTGAGAGTGTCGATACAAGACCAGATGCGGAGTGCATTTGTAGGAGTGTAACTGAGGAGCGACCCATGCAGCTTCTGCTGGTGTTATTCCAAGAAGCTGTGGAGGCTACTATCAGGTGTTGGGTGGCCAAAGACCTGGCTTGAAGGGAGGAAACCAGAAATGCTGCTGCAAAATCTACCAAATTTTGTGAAAATGAAACTTCATGTACTTCAATTGCAACATCAATTGATTCTTCCATTCACAAAAGATTTCAGTGTAGCATGCAATGCTGTTTTATAGCATTTTACCCACAAGCGAATTTCTTTCAATCTTCTCAAACCCTGCCACTGCTTTATCAACTAAGCTTATGTAGTCTAAATCCGTTGTTGTAATTTCAACAATGTTCACAACACTTCACCAAAAGTAGATTTCATCTTAAGAAACCCATTTATTTGCTCATTCAAAAGCAACAACTCCTCAGCCATTAAAATTTTATCATGAGATGGCAGCAATTCAACCACCTCTTCAGGCTCCACTGCTAATTCTAGTCCTCTTTCTATTTCTACCACATCTCTAGTTATTTCCTCCACTTAAATCTTGAACCCCTTCCTCCACTTAAATCTTGAACCCCTCAAAGTCATCCATAGATGTCAGAATCAACTTCTTCCAACCTTCTGTTAATGTCGATATTGTCACCTCCTCCCAAGACCCACAAATATGCTTAACGGTATCTAGAATGGTGCTTCCTGTCCAGGAGGATTTCATTTTACTTTGCCCAGATCCATCAGAGAAATCACTATCTATGGCAGCTCTAGTCTTTCAAAATGTATTTCTTTAATAAGAAGTGAAATCCTAAGTTACTCCTTGATCCATGGGCAGCAGAATGGATATTGTGTTAGCAGACATAAAAACAGCATTAATCTCACTGTACGTCTCCACCATAGTTCTTGGGTGGCCTGGTGCCTTGCCACTGAGCAGTATTATTTTGAAAAGAATCTCACTTGTGAGCAGTAGGTCTTAAAAGTGGGCTTAAAATATTCAGCAAACCATGTTGTAAACAGATGTGCTGTCACCCAGGCTTTGTTGTTCCACTTACAGAGCACAGGCAAGGTAGATTTAACATAATTTTTAAGCGCCCTGAGATTTTTGGAATGGTAAAWGWGCATCATCTTCAAAAGTCACCAACTGCATAAGCTTTTAAAGCTTTGAAACCAGGCATTGACTTCTAACTATGGAAGTTCTTGATGGCATCTTCTTCCAACAAAGCCGTTTCATCTACATGAAAAATCTGTTGCTTAGCGTAGCCACCTTCATYGATTATCTTAGCTAAATCATCTGGAGAAGTCCATGCAACTACTACATCAGCACTTGCTGCTTCACTTTGCACTTCTGTTACAAAAACAGCTTCTTTGCTGATGAACCAACCTCTGCTGACCTCAAACTTTTCTTCTGCAGCTTCCCCACTTCTCTCAGCAGGGTTGCCACAAACCTTCAATTTGTAAAAAGTGCAACATTTGTGAAGCGCAATAAAGCAAAGCACGATAAAATGAGTTATGCCTGTACTGTGGCTTCGATTCTTCAAAAGAAAAGGAAAAATATTTGCATATTTGATTCATTTTGCATAGATAACAAAAAAGCGGGGTGGGGGGAGGGTTATTTAATTAAAAAATCCCAACGGCTGTACAGTTTCCAAACCTTTAATAACCCAGACTGACGGCAGAAGAACAAACAGRTTTGGCAAATTTGCAGGAGAGAGAGGAGTCGTCTCCCACAACCTGCATTAAACAACTTCTTTTCACACAAAAAATAAACAAGAGTATTCTTCAGGAGTGCCGGTCTTTTGAGCTTTTTTTTAAAGCCATCAATGCAAAAGGGTCTTGGGTTTGATTTAGACCAGATCAGGGCAAGTTGTTGGTTTAAAGCAGATGCGCTGTTTACCCTGGGATAATCGGCTAGCTGCCTTCTGCTCARTTCCTGCTGCTCTCTCCCTGTTCAGGATTTCTGCTCGCATAGAAACAACCACATTATGGGAAATGTAGAAAGCACCAGGCACAGCGTGTGCTGAGCTGGAGGAGAGGCTTGGACCCACATTCCAGGGAAAGTGAGCCAAATTCACATCAGTGATGCCAAGGGAGTTGAAACAAGAAGAGGATCTGCCTTGTTTCCTTGGGGTGGATGTGAGAGCAGATACCACACTGCTGCACTCCTCCTGGGGAAAGGTCCAAGACACAGAGCTGTTGTGYCCCAAGGGATGCCAACTACCCTGGAGGAGACAATGAGAAGGTGGACACAACAAGACACCATTTCCATGCACTTATTTTCCCTAAGAGCAGAGCACTCTTAGGCAAGAAAATGCCAGCTGAGACACCTAATTCTCAAGTGATTTGCCACTTGTCAAGAACAGGGTCCTCCAAGGTCAACCCATGCAGTTCATGGGTCATTCTCCAACTACAGCCTCCTCTGCTCTCCATTGCACAAAAATTGCACTGTTGAAGAGAAATAACAAGTATTAATATATTTTGAGCTTAGAGGAGAAGCTCTAAGCTCTTTCACAGACAGACCATGCTCCTACCCCCATCAGACACCCAAGAGCTGGTCCATCAAAGCCACGGGCAAGACCGAAGGGCTGCAAGTTCTGGACATGGTTGAAGCAGACAGCCACTCCAGCAGAGACAGCTCTGCTGTGTGTGAGATTTGTGCTCAACTTTGTCCTCCGTGATGATTAAGACTGAGCAAGAGCAGCCCAAGCTCCTGGGCACTGAGGTCAGAGGAACTGCAGCAACAGCTCTGCTGCTGCGGGACACTCTGCACATGCTGGGACCAGACAAGTTTGGGCTGTGGCATAATGAATAATTACATTCTGGTGCCCTCTAGTGCCACCAGCTAAGCAAGGTAGCCTTGCAGCTGTGGGTCTAGTAGTGAGCTGGCCTTGCAGCTCACTGTATAGGCCAACACTATCTGTCTTTCACAAACTGAATGCTTGCCTGCGCTTGCAACGGGATGCACGTTTGTGCCATCCAGTGGGGCTCGCTGCCTGCATCTGCATACTCTTCAGCCCAGATTGGCATCAGCACTGCCATAAATCTTTAGCTTTCAGCTAAGGACATCCTACACTCTAATGTTTCACCTGTCCCCCAAGTTCATTTTTCAGGATTTCTGGTGYTGGTAGGCTGAGCTATTCAAGGAGACAGAGAAGCTTTGGAGGTGGAAGAAGTAGCTCCCTATGACATGGCACATGGGCTACAGTGAAGAATTAGTGCACTGAATCGTGATGCACAACCACGGGTCATGGGACAAAAAGTGACCCAAAATAAAGGAAAACCCCTCTCATCCCCTCTCATAATTTTTCATGGGCTCTGAAGCCTGATTCAGAAGCCCTGTACAAGTAGGACTGATAATAAGTGTGACTCACCATGGTTGTGCCATTCATTTTTCAGTAGGACATTTCAACAAGGAGGTGACATAATCTCTTCCTATGAGGAAACACTAAAAAGATTCTTCTCTAGCAGCCCCTGTGCCACCCACAACAGCCTGGATTAGGAATATGCTTCAGGCAGTAAAATGGCATTTCTCAGATAGGAGCACTGATGATTTGCTGGTCCAAGCAAGAGAGCACCTTCTGGACCACCTGAAACACACACGCACGCACAGACTGAGGTTCATCATGCCAGCCCTTCTGGCAGCTCTCAACTCATCTCCCAGTCTCTTAAATCTGACATCTGCATGATGAAAACTGTATGGTCTGGCAGCCAAGCCCTCCTCCCAGACTGCAAAGCCRCTCAGCATGAACCAGTGCCGCCTGGAGATCTCTCAGGAAGTCAAGGATCAGCCTTTGGGAATTTATCCCTAGAGCCGAAGAGTCAAACACCGTAAAGAGTCAAACTACTCCTTGCCCTTGAGCTCTTTCTCTCTCTCTTCCACATCTGGAGGAAATTTTACCCTCCTTGAGCACAACGGAGCCTATTCCTGCTTTCAAAACACCTTTTGTAAACACAGGGCAGTCTCTTCCCCCAGGCACTGAAGCCAAAATGCATTTTCTCCTTACGCAATGAAGCCCCTCAAACGGGCACACTTGCCACTTCCTTGCCACCCTCTGTCTCCAGTCATTGTTACCCCTCACTGCAGCTCCATACACCCCACCTAGACACCCAGCCAGCACTCAGGAGCTCCATCTACCCTGGGCTCAGAGCCCATTTCTTCAGAAAATTTCCCTGTGAGCCTTGAAGCACATGACCATAACTCTCCTCACCCTCAGGGTGTCACATCACGTACAACCAGCCCTATTTCTGTGTAGCTCCTGAGGTTCACGAAGCAAAGATCCCTTTCAGCTGCGGGACCGGAACCATTCCGACAATTTCCGAGCAGCAGCTTTGCGGTAGGGTTAAGAGGTGCATAGTCACTCTCAGCAGGAGATAAAGTCAGTGTCAAAACTGTCATCRTGGTGAGGGAGGCTGGTTCCCCACTCCTTCTGTCCCCAGCCAATAAGAGCATCTAAGAGAGACGCATCTTCATCTACAGGAAGCAGGGCRGGCGCTTCTGTCTCAAAGGCTCCTCTTCTGGAGCAGTGGAGATGGCTGCAACCTTTGCCTGCAGCTTTGCCACACTCTGCTGTTTGGCACTCTGGAGCTTCACCAAGACATCAGGTGGTAAGATGGGAAAATAATTTCTGTTTTCCTCACGCTTTAGGTCCTGAGAGTGCAGCACTTTCACACGGCAGAAAATAGCAACTCTTGTCTGACCCCTGCCTTTGCTGGCTCAGCACCACAGGGTTGAAATTCAGCTGAAACTTCAACTGCTTGAAAGATTTTCTCCCTGTGTAGCAAATCCTGTTATCTAGGGATATAGGAGGATTTTAAAGTAAACTCACACTTTTAATTTATTTGTCAATGCTTAAACTCCGCACGACCCTGATTATTAAATCTAAAAACAGTGTGTGCAACAATTTTACTGCTAAGTACAGATGTGCACTTGAGCGCCGATTAGCTGACTTTAATGAGACATTACTCTGTATCATCTCTTACTTTGCTGAGCAAGGAAACTCTCTTGATTGCAGCTGGTCTTAAATTGTTAGAACRGAGACTGCAGACAGCTTTCTTTCTGAAGCTTTTGGTTTTACTTTAGTTTTCTTTCAGCTCCCATGCACAGAAGGCTCTCACACTCCGCAGTGTTGCTCAATTAGCCAATAGCTTTCTGTTGGGCTGTGGTTTCCTTTGCGGGCTGTGGAGGCAGGACGGAACTGGGCTGCTTCTCAAGTGTAAAGATAAAACTTAGTCTTACTCCTAGCAGTAGCAGAGAGGAGGTTTTGAAAGCACCCAATAAAAGGAGGAAAAAAAAAACAAAAAGAAGTCTGAGATATAAATATCCCCATTTACTTCCGTGCAGGTTGGGACAGCAGGGAGCAGCACCTAGCGAGAGCGTTCGCAGGAGAGAGCTCTCACGGTGCAGCAACAGGGTGAAACGCCTTGCTGACAGGTGCTTCACCCCAGAGGATTTCTGGGCTTTCGAAACAGAGCAGGGCAAAGTCATCCAAACAGTTAACGTGACCTTATTTCAGAGCAGAGGGTGCACCATGCGGTTCACCATGTGTTCGCACCTCGAACTGGAATCAAAGCACATCAGGAGAAAAAATATATATATATATATATATATAATATAATATATATAATATAGCTTTGAGGAATCTGGATCACCAGCAAAAAAACAGTCGGTAAACAACATGCAATGGATGAAGTAGGTGCAATGCCTGGTACTCATTAATGATAACTAGAGTACTAAACTAAAGCACGCAGCAGCCTGCYACCTGTCCACAACATATGGTCTGAATATATGATTTTGCTAGGTCTTCCTAAATTGTTTACCTATATTGTTTACCTCCAAGCATTGCTTTTAAAACACGTTAAGAAGTGATGGACTTCCGTATTCCAGAGACTCTGCCTGACACGTGCATGACATTGCTGGACCTAGGCACTAGGGCGGCAATTTRGATGCCAACTCCTGCTTTCAACCCTCATTCATGCCATTTTAAACATTCACTCCGTTCATTTCATTGGCTTTTTGCCATATATCCAGTGTAACTTCAGCCGTCCTCATAAGGACATCACCATGACTCTAAGAGGTGTTGAGGGCTACTAAGCCACAAAGGGACCTTATATCATCTGACCAATAGCCAGAATAGTCCAAGCCAGGGAGCTACTCTTTGCCCAGCAGACTCTTGCAGTTGCCATCCAGTCAGCTTCAGACATCTTTCAAACTACTAAAGAGATGAGCTGAGGGACAGGAAGGGAAGACAAATAGCTAAGGTTAAGGMTACTAAGTGCTATGTAGAGATAAGTGCTCACAAACGTGAAAGGTCATGAACTATTTTTCTTCCATCTCTATTTCCTTTGCATCGCGCCGCTCTGCTTCATGACTGTGATAAGATGGTCCTTGGCATTTGTTCAGTGCAGCAGCTGCCCAAAGCCAACCACACCAGTACAGCAGAGCGGGAGGCCCCTGCTGTGTCCTGGGGCCTTCCCTGGCCAGCTGCAGGACGATGACAGCCTCTCCATGGCTCCCCTCCCCATAACTACACAACTGGTGGAGATGGTGTTCTTTCTCCTGTCACCTCATCCCATAGGWTTGCTTCCCCATTTCAAACACTTAAAAAGAAATACTTTGTAGTGGAGGCAAGCAGAGCTTTCCTGAAGCACAAGCATGCAGGACAAGTATGAAGGCTCAACTTTAGTTCAGAGGCTTGAACAAACGTGAAGCTTCCACCACACCAGGCACCAGGAGATACGTTCTGTGCTCATGTTTTGTGTCATTCTAGCTGTGCACGTGCCACCGCCTCGTTCAACCATGAAACCCGGCTCCCCTGTCCCCGTGAACACCAACAACTCTGGCGTTCGCAAGGCGGCTCGCTTTGGCGTTTACCGATACAACAACAGTTCCAACGACCTCTTTCTGTTTAAAGAGATGCACATAGAGAAAGCCATGGTGCAGGTAAGAGCCCAAATCCTATTGCTCCCTCAAACCATTTAGCAGTCAACCCTGTCCTAGAACACCCYAGGCACAGGAGTCCTGAGCCTGCCCAGGACTGCTAGGCATGCCTGCCAAAAAACAAACAGCAAATGTCCCTCTCTGTCATTCAATTGCTCTGCAGGACAGTGTTATTTCACACAGCAATTCAGTGCAAGGTGCCTCCACTCACAACTCCGCATGCAATTCAGATGTAGCACTTGATCCAAAGTAGCTAAAACTATTTTGGCATCGTTTCTCCTCACCTCTTCCCACTGCTATTGAGGAATCCCTGGCTTTCCCTAGATCGTCAGAGGGCTCAAGTACATGTTGCACGTGGAAATCGGCCGCACGGTGTGCRAGAAGAGGGAGCACTCCCACCTGGACAACTGCAAATTCCAGAGGAAGAAACAGCTGCAACAAGTAGGTGTCTCCGTGCCTTGGGGTACCCACAACTGCATGTCCTGATCATCTCCAGCTGCATGGCCACGTTGCCAACCAGCTCTGCCATATCCCCATAGGTAAAAAGCCTCCTCTGTGCAGAGCCAGGTTGGGCTACTCGGGTTTACCAGGATAAGCAGATTGGCAGCTCTCCTGCATCCCGGGCCAGCTCCTGGCTGCAGGGAGTCGAGTCAGGCACAGTCATTTAGCTCACACTCCCCATCTCCCTGCTTCCTGGGCAGCAAGGTGGAGTGAATCCTCACTGGGCCTTCTTCTGTAAGATATGGGCATATAGCACTTTTCCTGGGAGAAAGCAGGTGGGAGAAGTAAAAGAAGAAAGCAAGAAGGAAAAAAAAAAAAGGTGAAAACAAGATGCACTTCTCAGCTGCCTCAACACAGTTCCCTAGGCTGAGGAGTGGTACAGTCATTTGAATCTAGTCACTAATTTCCCTTCATTCGCAGGTGCTTCGGTGCTATTTTGAGGTCTGGATGATGCCTTGGTTACATATAGCAAACGTTTCCATTGCCCTCTGTCACTGACCCACCTTTCACCTGCAAAAACGTGACTCACAGGGAGGATTTTCACCGAGAGCTTCTCCTTGCCTAGACTGCTGAAGTCAAAACTGGGCTAGAGAACAGCCACACAGAATCGCCACAGGGCTTTTGTTTCAAAGMACACGATTTTTTTTTTCTTTCTCATGGAAGACGCTTAAAATCTGAGTGGCCAAAACACGTGCCTCAACTCAATTCACTGCTATCCAGTTGTCTATTTTTGTTGGTCTAAAACTAAACTGCACCTGAGATTTTGTTGTCGCTCATTCACTAGAAAGCCATCCACCTTCTCTGCTGGAATTAGGCCTAAGCATTGGGAGCAGACCTGGGRAGGTTTGTTAGACTTGCTTTGTTCTGAGACAGACTTTCACGTAACCATGAGGAAGCCTAAATGACAGCACATAACTTCAGCACTGAGGAAGGCTTTGCAACAGTGTGACAGTTGGCCTGGGGGATATAAGCACATGCACAAAAGAAAAAAAAAATCCTAGTCTCTAGTGCTAGAGAAAAAAAAAATAGATATAWCTGCTAGGAATGAGTAAGGTAGAATTGATCATTGCCTCAAGACAAGAGGATGGATGAGGCTGTTTTGAGATGCACCCACTGCCCAGAAGCAGCCCAGCTGGAGCAGCTACTGCTCCTACTTTAAACAAAATCTGTTCTATGAAAGGGCATCATGACAAACAGGAACAAACCCCATAACATATTTTTGATGATGTTAAGCAAAGTGGTTTCATTCAGGTTAATGGAAGATGCTCCGTTTCTGGTTGCCCATAGCTTACGTTCAAGCTTAGAGGAACACTGTCCTGGCTTCAGTCACTACCTACTGTTGCTCCAGGATGCACTGTTCATGCACAGACAGACTACTGCTTACATGTCACTAAGATTCTTATTTGGAAGAACTCAGATAATTTCTCCCTTAAAGGAGGAACAAAACCTAGACCTGTGATCAGTAAAATACATACCAGTACTTAGAAGCTGATAGGGCCCTGAACTATAAAAAACATCTCCTTTCAAAAGAAAACACACCTTTCTCCCAACAACTGTGGCCTCACTGCAGCTCTCTTGCACCTTTCAGCAAGAGCATCCTCACTTTCAAACTACCTTTCAGTCTGAAAAAGCCACCGATGGGTCCAGGCCAAGGTGCAGGACCCTAGATAGGGTCTAAGCCAAGCCACAGCTAAGTTTAAGAGGGCAAGAAGCAAGCCCATGTCCCAGAGGAACCGCTCTGTGCATCTCAAAGGGCTTTGCTGTTTCTGTTTCAGCAGGGTGCTTCAACACAGCAGCAATGCCAAAGGCTTCCTACCAAACTGGCCCAGGAGAAATGAAACGGATTCCTGTTTCCTCCTTGGTACAGAGTAAGGGAAGAGGAATGCACAGGCAGCTTAAGTCAGCTCACAGATTCAAAAAGGTAGATAAGCACAAGCCAGAACAGTCTCTGAGCATGAACTTTCAGGTCAGCTTCATGTTAACAACTGCACAAAGTACTTACTGTAACATTATGATAAACAAGGCAGGCTGAAGTAGCAGCATCCATCACATCCCRATAGATAACAGTTGCCATAAGCACAAACAAAAGGAGCAGAACTAAAGGTGGCTGAGCTCTCAGTATCACTCCAGAGCGCTTTGCTAGGGAATGTTCTGGGCAGCTGAACAGTCTCCCAACAGAAGGATGTTGCTAGCACTGACTTAAGGAATCACTGCAGCTAAAAACCATTTAATCACAATGACATGCAGCATTCAAGCTGATGTCTCCGCCCAACAGATGTTTTTGCTAGAATTTACCAAGGCTGACCGCTTACCAATTGACTCCAGTGAGTTCTCATACCCTTGCAGAGCTCATGGAGGCTCTGACTTCTATTCCAGGGTACCAAGGCACATACATTTCTCCAGGAYTAATCAGCTAGAAGGTAAATATATCTAGTGAAGATTTGTGGCCTCAGGAGAGAAGGGAGGTCTGATTCTGCCCGTTCCAGAAGCTGCATAAAAGGAATAGCCCCAGCAGTGGCAGTAAGAGCTTCCGGGACAACCAAAGGTGGTGCTTCACAGGGATCAGCTAACATAGCAACATTATGCACAAACTGAAGGAGCAGCTTCCTTTGGCTTCAGATCTCTCTCCAGCACCAGAAGCACCACATACTCAGTGCCCGACCTACTTCTTGGCTGTTCTTCTCAAGAGGATCCTCAGCCTCATAGCCTTTAGTATTCCTCAACATGCTCAACCTCATAAGGTTCAACAAGGACAAGTGCAGGGTCCTGCATCTGGGGAGGAATAACCCCAGGCATCAATTCAGATTAGGGGTTGACCTGCTGGAAAGCAGCTCCACAGAGAGGGATCTGAGAGTCCTGGTTGACACCAAGTTAATCATGAGTCAGCAATGTACCCTTATGGCCAAGGCCAATGGGATTCTGGCTGCATTAGGAGGATGTTGCCAGCAGGTCAAGGGAGGAGATCCTGCCCCTCTGCTCAGCTCTGGTGAGGCCACATCTGGAGTATTGGTGCAAGTCTGAGCTCCCCAGGACAAGAGGGATGTGGAGCTTCTAGAGAGGGTCCAGGGCAGAGAGACATAGATGATTAAGGGAATGGAACATCTATCTTATTCAGGAAAGACTAAGTGAGTTGGTCCTGTTTAGACTAGAGAAGACTGAGAGGAGATCTGATCAATATGTATAGATATCTGAGGGGAGAATGTAGGGAGGAGGGGGCCAAACTCTTCTCAGTGGTGGCCAGTGATAGGACAAACGGCAATGGGTGTAAGTTGAAACACAGCAAGCTCCATCTCCATGTGAGGAAGAACTTCTTTATTGTGAGGGTGACAAAGCCCTGGCACAGGCTGCCCAGGGAGGTTGTGGAGTCTCCTTCTCTGGAGGTCTTCCAAACCCACCTCGATGCCACCCTGGGTCACATGCTGTAGGTGCCCCTGCTTGAGCAGGAAGGTTGGACTAGATGTTCTCTAGGGGTCCCTTCCAACCTTAATGATTCTGTGATTCTGTGAACAGCTCTGCTAAAGGGAGGTACCAACTGTGCACCAAGGATTCCTTCACGCACAAAAAGGTTCCCAGTGATCCCAAGACCCTTAAACTGGGATCTCTACTTACTCACAAGGTCCCCTCACAGGCTGGACAACAGAGTTGCTGCTCTCACCTCTATTTTTCAGTTGCACAGCAATATAAAGCATCTCTGACTGACAGACTCAGCCCTTGGCAGTTTCTTGGCATCGGCAACGCCCCACCAGGGACTTGAAATGCTTCTATACATCTTGTAGTAGACTTTACAGTCCAACCGTCTTCCAGGACCCTATACAAACAGCTGCAAGGAAACAAGGCAAAGTTTAGCTTGCGACAACAGCTAGATGAGGAGACATGACTTCCCCAACCAGGGGAAATAACTGTTGTTGTATTTAGGTTACTGCACTCGCTGCTAAATTTCCCCTGTTCTAAAAGGGCTAGCAAATTAATTATACTCAGTATAGTCTTTTTTTTTTCTCTTTAATAGAACTTACTTTACTTAAAGCAATTTGATGAGGCCAAAGGATGAGGCCCATAAGATCTCTACAGCGATCACTGAACAAATTATTCAGAAGCACAGAAGGGCTGAGGTTGGAACGGACCTCTGCAGATTATCCAGTCCAACCTTCCTGCTCAAGCAGGGTCATCTACAACACATTGTCCAGAACCCTGTGTCAAGGCTGTTTTTGATACCTCCACAGAGGGAGACTCCACGGCTTCTCCAGGCAATCAGTTCCAATGATTAGTGACCCTCAAAAGGGTCACTACCACATCTGTGTCACTGACCCAAACCAGACTCAACAGGAGTTGACTGTAAAGCCTTAGCACAGATGCACTTTATCAGCCACTTACACCAAAATATCAATTTTTACACAAGAGTGTTGTGTGCACTTGAGTCATCTTCCAGGGACTCTGCCATAGGTGCAGCAGGGAAGGGCAGTCAGCTGAGGAACAGCTTTTTAAATAGCTCTGATAAATTCTTCTAGGTTCTTCTACCCTGTAGAAACATCTGTTTCACAACAAAACATCACTCTTCTCTCCCAGTGGAATTACAGAATACACCTTTAAAAGGCACAGTTATTGTGTATCCCATCTCAGTCCCTTCTCCATAGGCTCATTTACTGCAGGGCTGTGTGCTGAAGCACAGATTTCCCCCAACGCTTCAGGAGATGGCACTGCTCTTCAACGCCAGTCCCAATTTGTTCTGCAAAGACTGTCCCAAGAGAAGCCTGGAGACAGCACAGGCAGCACACTCTCACTCCTCCGAGATGCACAGAGAAGGTTTCCTGCCTTCTCCTGCCACCAAAACCAATCTCACTCTGGCAAGCTCTTTAAGTCATTACTGTAACTGCTCCTGCTTCTTCCAAAAACATCAATGCATCCACACTAGAGAACCAACAGGCAAGCTGGAAAAGTGCCATGTTCCTGCACTGCTATTATCAAGCAAAAGAAGATGGAGCTGTTGTTCTCATGGCCTTCTCTATCACTCAAGATTGATGTGTCAAAAGCTATCTGAAATTGCAACATTGCCTCATCTTCCTGCAAAAGTGACATGAACCCATAAAAGCAGTCTCAAACTAGCTCCAACAGGAGCTTACCCAGTGTTTGTTCCAGGCATTTCAATGCTGCTAATAGTACTCTGTGAGGATTCCATTTGAGGATCTATCAGGGACTAAAAGTATCCGAGCTTCCAAGAAAATACCACTCTCATGACCCTTCAATGCTGAGCAATGAACAAGCTGTATGGCCATCCGCCTTTATCTTGTCCGGACCCTGCAGCTACAGGGAGCTGACCATCCTGTTATGCATAGTAAAGACGGGCTGGCATCCCATCCAGCCAACCAGGAATGGGAGTCAGCACCTCCAGAACACAGGAAGGAGGCTCCTTTTAGCTTCTGCAGACTCTGAGGCTCCTTGAATTAGAAATAGGCAGATCCTGAATGTCAGAAAAATCCTTAAAACTACTCACTGACACCTCCACTTGGTACTGCACTTCCATCCTGGTCCACCACCAATGCTGCAGTCGGCATGATAGTAAATGGCCTCCTTTCAGTTTYAGGAGCCAGGAAGGCACTGACTGTTTTGACCTAGGCATATCTATTATCAGGAAGCATCAGCCACACTWACTTCTTTATCAGTCCTTGTCCACAAACTATCAAGATAAGGATTAGCTGAATCCAAGGGCAGAGCTTGGCTTCTTCCTCTTAGCTTCCTTCTAAGTCCTGGAACTGCTAGATGAAGCAAGTGACCATCCCCTGGCTTGCTACAGGGCAAGCCAGCCGGATACAGCAGGCGCTGCCGCAGGGCTGCTGCAGTGYTTGTAGCAACGCAGACTTTATAATAGCACAAGGTGACAGGAGCATCGGTGGAAGAGAATCACTTTCACTTGCATATCTCTCCCATTAATAAAGACAAGCACAGCAGGCCAGTGAAAGCACTGATGCTTTTCATTATGTAGCAAGTAAATCTTGATTATTTCCTTTCTACGTGGGAGGAAGTTGAAGGATAGAGCAAATTATCTTTGACTATCACCCAGTGGCAAAAGAGGGGAAAGCAGCCAAGTCTTCAGTCCTACAGCAGGAATCAAATCACTGAGTTGCTCAGCTTTTGTACAACTGAACATCATAACCTTTTTCATTCTCATTGCCCTTAACATCTATATAAGACGAAAATACATTTATTCAAGGTGTGAATAAAAAAGTCTTTTCTTTTGTGATAGTGAAGAGAAAAGCATGCCTTGGAWTTTTTTCCCCTTAAACAACATACCTGTAACTTTGAAGTAGTCAATACAAGAAGTAAACAATTTCCTCTGGAGACATCAGGAATCATCTATCAGCTATTATTACACATTAAGATTTTTACAAAGGCCTCACTAGCAGACCGGAATTTGCAGGAGCCCTTTCACTTCACATTTGTTCGAGACACCATTCTTCCCAAAAAGCTTTAGCATCTCTCCATAAAGAGCATGTGGAAGAGGATTTATAGGGCTGACTCTCTTCCCTCCCATGACTCTCTGGGCAGGCCATCCACATAACCAACAAAAGAGACACAGAGCACCTGGGAATCATGGAAGAAACGGTTATGCGGGTGAACCATTTTAAACCCACTGGTCTTCAATTCCACATAAAATGCAACTTTCACTCATTATCCGACTGTGACGCTATAAAGAAACACAGGACTCCACAGGCAATGACCAAATCAGATTCTGCATGTTGATTAACAGTCAGGTGTTGTTTCAGATGTTGATTACATAGGCTGGAATTGAAGAAACTTGGGTAGTACAACTAGACTTCTAGTCACATTCTGAATGATGTTGCCTCTACCACAGCGCTGTAGAGTGACATGAAAACATGCACTGTAATCACTCCTACAGAGTAGTTTCTAAAACAGAAGGAAACAAATGTGCAACATCTCTTCAATYCAAATGATACATCATTAATCCAATGATCATTCCAGTGTAAGAAGATACTTGCATTACAGGTGGCTTATGTTTGTTCAAGATGCTCCAAACAGGGGTGGGAAAGGAAAAGCAATGGCTTTCACTTAAGGAGCATTTAACCATACGAAGATCCTCAACATCACAGGCATTAATATTACACATGCCAATTCCAAAGCAGGAGCAGCCAAATCAAACCAATGAAGACTACAGTTAACAGCAAGCCATTCAGGTTTTCAAATGGCAACAGAATGGTGCAACTGACTAACCATCTTCACTTGTTCGTCCTTGGTCACACGCTGTCTCAAGCACATCCTTCCTTCATACCTCTGGAGTATTAAAGGACAGTGGCACTTCATCACAGGTGAACAATTAAACATGCTGAAGGTTAAGTCTACCAATAAATGGAGATCGGAAGGAGCCCAGGTAGAGATATCCATTGTGTTCATGTGCCTCACTAATGTAAGGTACTGTTACTCCGTTGGGATCATGAAAGCTTCTTTTGTAGGATCCTGTCTCACTAAGTTCAACAACAAGGCTGTACCTGGGCACAAACTTCATCAGAGTTTCCTGACTCAGGAGCTAGGGAGAGAGAAAAAAAAAAAAAAAAAAAAAGTTAGCAGATTGTTCTATATCATCAGATCTGAGACACTTACACAGTCAAAGATCATTTCACATTCCCCGGAAGAAGCAGCTGAGAAGTTAACTACACATTTAGTAAACAGCTATGAAACAGGCTTAACAAATTAACATCTGAAAAGCTAACTTTAAAAAGAATCATCAATTAAAAAAAACRTACTCCGGGACTGTGCTGAACATATGTCCACCCCGATGCAGGAGACATCAGCTTCTTCTGGCACAGCTAGTGTCAAAACAGCATATGTCAAGCTCAGCTCTCCATAGCATCACAAAGTGGAGCCTTTACATGTTCAAATGCAGCCTCTCTGTTGTTGCACAACTAAAGCAAAGACAACCTTTCTTTCTTCTCTGATATCACAGTGGAAAGCAACTTAAGAGCTAATCAGGGAAGATAGCATTATTTGAACCATCTTAAAACATACGGAGACTGTTCTAACTGGATACAGTTTTAATCGTAGTATTAAAATAAAGGGAAAAAAAAAAGAAAAGCTTCCTGTGAAGAAAAAGAAACAGATATTTATGATTTCCGTTCCTGTACTAAATACGAAGGTGCAGGTTGTTTTCTTTCTTCCCATCCCCCCCAACAGACATACACACACACACTTGGCAGAGCAGAGGGGTGCAGGGAGAGGGAGGTTTACCTTAAATATAATTCTTTTAATCCATGGTTTTTCAGACAAGAAATCCAACATTGAAAATCCAGGATTGGGTCGAATAGTTGACATGGCTACCCAATATCCTCCAGAACTGCTTAATCTGATATTATCTGGAAAACCAGGCATATTCTCAACAAAAATATCCGCTCCACCTTTCATCAGGCCAGACACATAATACCTGAAAGTCATAGAGAGCAGCACTAAGACATCTTCACTTAAGCAGTAAATGACAATCAGCTCCCAAAAGAAATTCATTGGGAATAATGAAGAATAGTAGTAATAGAAAAAAAATGTATTTTTCAACAGAAAAACCAGGGGCAGGCTAGTGGTAGACACAGTAATATTTTTAAAGTCACACTCACCTCCTGATTCTAGCCATGGTTGTTTCCTGGACCAGGACAAAATCTTCTGCTGGAGAGAGCTGGACTCCATTAGGAAACTGCAACCCCACCATTAAGACTTTCACTTCTTTTGTTACCGTGTCATATTCAAGCAGGCTAACAAGAGAACATTATACATGTTTGKGAGTGGAAACAAATATTTACTCATCTTGGTTTCCCCCCTCGGGTATTTTCCCTCCTCTCACCCCAGCCTGGCCTCACTTAAAAAGACAGAATAGTCATGAAACTTAGGGAACACAGGAAAAATACAGTAGGCCAGTTAAGATAAACAGCATTCATGAAGACTTCAGGCTACAAGGTCTTTTTAAAAGGATATTGCATTGAAGTCTTTTTAAAGGAAAAAGAGGAATTTAATTTATTTTGCAGGCACATTGTTTGCACAAGTGTTTTGGTTTTTTAAATAACTTGGAGATGAAGTAGAGCGGCCATACCTACTCCCGTTGCTGAGCTTACAAGAAGATAAATGTCTTTAGGAAGAAATACTTACCGTCCATCATCTGTGCCTTCCATGACCAAGTACAAGTAGTTCCGCCTTTGCCATTTGCTGCTGGAATCAGTAAAGTAGATTTTCCTCCCATCCCGAGTGACTGTAAGATCATTCAGAAAAGACAACTTCTGACCTTCAATTATTGTTTTAGTTGAGACAAGCATTTTTGTTTCCCCTGGTTACAAAGAGAAAAAAAAAGAAAGGAAAAAAAAAAAAAAAAGACAAGCTTGTGTGCGCTCTGCTTTGGAGGTTAAATACTTTGAAGTTAAATATTAAAACAAAGTTAACAAGCACTTCATTTTTTTCATTTTTGCATGTGTTATGTAAATAAGGCCTTGGGTTGTGAGGAATGTACTCAATGCGAGTAGAAAACAACCAGGAGAGATACTTTTCAGAAGAAATGAAGTTGTAGAAATTTCCTGTTGAGAAGTGCCAGATTCAGTTTCTGGAGCCCATTTTAAACCAAGCATCCCAACCTTGCAGAAGAAATTGGGCAAGCCAATCACTACTCTATCTCTCCCTGTCAGTTTGGGAGAACAAAAGGAATAAACATTAACTATAGGCAAGAATTCAGCATTGAAACGTTTACCTGAAATGGATCGTCACACTCCATGCATTGTCAGATATTAAGTTATCAGAACCAAGGCTTTAAGACTAACTTAAAAACTATTCAAATCATCCCTGTGCATGGTTTGTTTTGTTCTTGACACATGACAGAACTAATGTGACAGCAGTTTGCAATTAAAAGGGGAGATCTTGAACATATCCTTCCAAAGCTGTAGAGTCTCAACCTTTCCACTAAGTGAGAACTAGAATCCTGGCCCTCTCCACCAGTTCAAGAAGATGAACAAAAGCTCTTCGCTACCATACAGCAAGATCAAGGTAGAAACAGAAGCAGCACAAACACTGGGAAAAAGTTATGCAATAGCAATATTATTTTTTTCCCTTTTAAGGCAACTAAAATAGCTACACAGAGCTTTATTTATGGATACTGAGATATCAAATTTGAAAGTTTCAAGCATATGTCACTATAAGATAAGCAACTTACAGTTGCTAATTCCAACCAAGACAAAGAGAGATAGAGCAAAGTGATTGCTACAAGAAAATAAAGTTCCTGCGTGGCATATTTCATTTAGAGAGCTGCTATCCACTTTCTAAAGGCAGCAAGCTTTCCTCTGCCTACAGCACCTGGCAGAACTCCAAGCAGAGCCCAGGCTGGTCAGGGGAAGAGACCTACTGTATAGTAAATTCATACCTGTGTCAGGATTAATTTCATAGAGTCCATGATAAGCATCTGCCACAAAAAGGGTGTTATTTGGTCCAACTCTGATGCCAAGTGGCCTTCCACAAGTTGGCTCATCTTCCCACCTTCCTTAGAAAACAAAATGTTTTAATATGAATAAGTGGAAGGCATTCAGGCCATCCACAAAGGTTAAACTTCAGCTTAGCAACAGCACAGCAGCAGTGCACATGTGCGCGTACACACATACACACAAACACACACACACACACACACACACACACAAAAGACACCATTCTTATATTCTCAGGCATAAGGGAAACAAATGTTTCAAGATTGACCAAAAGATGGGGATTATCCTATCATTTGACAAGCTGGTAACTGCCTAACAATTGCCCTAAGCAAGGCTGAATGCAAGGAAATTCTACTTCTGATACTTATTCACAGAAATTCTGGATTTTTTTTCCACTCACCCACCCACCCACCCAATTTCACATTTCTCTCCCAAGTACAAGCTGTATAAGTCCAATGGAGATGATCAGAGAGAGGTGATGTATTGTTTTCACCCACCCTCACCTAAGGCACCCACCTGCCTAAGCAGCCCCTAGAAGGCCACCTTTATATTAGATGACCTCATTTGCAGTCAGGGCCAAGGCTGTCCTAGCTGTTAGGCAGCCAGAAGAGTGCTTCCAAATCAGTTTAAGCCTAACCATGTGAACAGCTACATAACATTACGTAGCTAAAAGGCTAAGTGTGTTAATACAAGCTAAAGACAACAACAACCCCAGTCTACAGTCTAACATGACATGCCACTAGTACAGGGCTACAGTTCTTCTGTCACCAAAATAAAGGCTTCTATATCACAAAAACAAAATAAAACAAAACAAAAAACAACCAAAAAAAACAACACATGCGCATACATGAGCATAAATACACAGCCATAACAAACACCAGCCAGACATCTCAGTTGAGCTTGTCAACCATAAGCTTCTCCATAGAGGTTGTTCCATTAACAAACATGCCATGAGCAGTTGTTCTCACTTGCTTCCAGTAAGTTCATCAAATGAGGCAAATAAGTTTTTCAGAAAGAGGTATGGACTTCAGCGCAAAATAGTTGCGAGTTAGCCATGAATATACAGAACTACCTTTATCAGTGGAAGGTCTCCCTAAAGCAGGTGCAATCACCACAAACTCTCACAGACAGAAGCAAAGTGAAATGAGCATAATAAAATTCAATGCATTTTTTCTAGATTTTTTAATAGAACGCTAAGTTTATTTAGAGATTTTTTTTAATTAAATATAAGTTGATTTTATCCATTTGCAAATTGTCTCAGATTTCATTCACTCACACTTGGATGCTCAAGATACCTACTCAAGAAGTATATATCCAAACTGTCTGGACACGATCCCTTGTGTGCACCAGCTGTCACATCCTAATTGCATTTCTAGCATTTTCTTGAATGGCAAAACAAACTGCTTTTGGACAGGTCTTTCATATCCCAAAGAGTCCCCATTTATTATAAGGTGCTTCTTCTCTCCCAACTTGCTGAATTCAGCATCAGGCCACACTGCAGCCCATTTTTCCTTATTTAGAGGGTTATTTTCCCCCCTGGATGGGCTACCAGGAAAAGGAATGTTACTTGTCATATATTGCAACGTTGTCTTTCTCCTGATGCTAAGATTGTTTCCTGTTTCCTATTGGCATGTATGCCTTGTAGTCATGACAAACACCCCCAGCAATAAAACTGAGCTGAGCTAATGTTCTCAGTTATCAACACCAGGCATATTTTTAGCTCTGCCTGACTATCCCTGCTGGTGCTTATACACGTTTCCATTCCTACCTGGTTCATAGAAATCACAGAATCACAGAATATTCAAGGTTGGAAGGGACCTCTAGAGATCATCTAGTCCAACCTTCCCGCTCAGGCAGGCACACCTACAGCATGTGGCACAGGGCGGCATCCAGGTGGGTTTTGAAGACCTCCAGAGAAGGAGACTCTACAATCTCCCTGGGCAGCCTGTTCCAGTGCTTTGTTACCCTCACAGTAAAGAAGTTCTTCCTCACCTGGAGATGGAATTTTTGTATGTCTTTTACAAATCTCTACAGAGAGTGATATAGACATTATAAATACTTGCATAAACAATCTAAACAGAACAATCACATCATCAACAGAACAATAACATCATTAACACAAGCCCTGATCGAAATATTTTCAGGTAAGGCACATTCAGGAGCTGTCACTTACCACAAGGACCATGTCCAGTTCTAGCTATTGTCTGTAGTTCCCCATCTTCAATTTTTAGAATCTTTCCATCAGCTGTCCCAGTAAAGAGCACATCTGCAGAGACAAGTGACAACATCAGCTTGATCACAAAATTACAATGGAGAACATCCATGATAGAAGTGCTAGCATAAAGCACAATTCATGCTTAAAATACAGTGAAGTAGCAACACATTCCTCTTCACTTGTACCAAAAGAATAAAAAGTGAAGAGGAAGAGATTCAAGGCAAGAAAATGCATTCAGTTAGGCTTTCACCAGCTCAAGAAAAGAAGGGATTAACGTCTTAAGAGTTGAGGGGCATAAAGGTTTTTACTATGTATAACTGACTCCAGGCTCCAGTTAAAGATGATGATAACCATATACTGGCTAGTAACTGGCTGGTAACTGGACTGATTCTTGCAGGTACATTTCTGTATCATCACACAGTGTGATCAGGCCCTGTGTCCATTTTGCCACTTGTGGAGAGTGCTTGCAGATCTGGCAAGGGTTGGGTGCCTGGTCGAGGATGCAATGCCAGGCCTGGAACGTTGTCTCTACAGTCTGATTGAAAACAGCCAGGACCAGACACACACACTCAGTTTTGTCAGCAAGGTCTAGCTGCTTCTCAATCAGTGATTACTCAAGCTTAGCACAGTCAACTTGAGAAAGTAGCTACAGGAGACAAAAAGAGACCTTAGGATACACCAAGAAAGTCCTGCCTAGGCATCCAATATGTCCATAAAGCAGCCTCCCATCAGCAACTCCTTCACTCAGTGCCCAGGGCTCCCTGCACAGTTTGGGAGTGCAAATCCCTCATTAAATCTATTTTGTTTATGCCCTCACATGCCCTCAATGTCCCTCTATGCTGGTACCTGCCCTCCATGTCACATCTGGCAGTCAAACCGGTCTCACTAAATAAAACTCATTCTTGTGCAGGTTCCAGAAGGTTGCTAAGCTCTACTGAAGAGGTTTAAACTGCTGTTGCCTCAACTGTACTTGTCCTGCAGAACAGCTACAAGAACCAAAGTAATCTAATGATCATCCAACCCACAAGCATTGCTCAACTGATGTAGTTATGCCAGGTCATATGACAGATTTACCAGAATCTTCCACACAGTACCTGAACACTTTCACACATCCAAATTTAATGGCAAATGAAGGACTACTGGATTAGTAGAGCCCGTTGCTTGGACTTTTCCATCTTCAGTGTAACTGAAATTTAAGCCTCCTAATAATACTTTAAAAGGCAATAAGACTTCAACATTCAAAAAGGTTTCTACCTTCTGCAAACTATTTCCAGTCACATTGTTTTACTTAATCCACAGGAGAGCTGGGCCTTGTGCAAGGATTTCCTTAAGGAATTTCTGACAAGACTGAAAACACTGGAGAACAGAAAAGAACTACTGGTTCCAAGTAATCACTTCAGCATAATGTTAGTAGAGAGAGGCAGTAAAGAGAAGTAATCTGAGGAAGGAGAGAATTTATAGAGCGTTTTTTCACTGTGTTGAAATAAAAGTCAGGATGTTAAATATTTTACTGGTTAAGAGATAGAGTAGAAGGAAAATAAAACGTATGGCTAATGTTTACTTTTATGTTGAAGGATGTTGCAGCAATGGCCTCACCTGCCACTCGCAAGCTATCTGCCTTCCCTGTTAAGGCAATAAAGGACTCGCATCAAAGGTAGTTCCCAACCTTATCCCTCCAGGAGCACAGAATCACAGCTGCACAGTGCTCGATTCCTACTGAGGAGGTGTTGTGCCGTTACAAGTCTAGCCACCTCATTAGGAAATGGCTCTGAAGAGGCCTTGGTTTGTGATTTGGTGATGAAACACACGTGCCCTAACATGTACACAAGGGCACCTGTACTACACATGAAATAGCACTCTAACACATGAAAATACTTCCAGAGATTGTTATTGAAGGTGATCGCACCCTTATCAATATAGCATCATTTAAAGACCCTTTCTAAAAGTTTTTTTTGACAGTGCTTACCATCAATATTGGCAATAGATTCTGGTCCAAGAAGTTGACCTTCCCATAATCGCTCAGCTTTTCGTAACTTGATATTTGGCTCCAGAACCCCTGTCAGAAGGGGAGGTTCTTTCAAGCTGTAGAGCAGAACACAGATTTCATAACTTTCACAAATTTGCAAAAGCACTTGAGAAGAAAGTCATGCAATTGCTTTTACATAGCTTGCCAACTGCTGCATGCCTGATCCATATTTTCCACTGAGTATTTCAACACAGAAAGCACAGGTCAAAAACTGAAAATTGGACTTTGTTCATCAAGGATAATAAATTTCTTGTTCTGCTGCTCAGAAAAGAAGTTGCAAGCATATATTTTTGGGACACATCTAGAAGGCTGTAGAGCTTTAAGTCAAACAATACATTCTTGGTTCATTATCCTTATACAAAGAAAAGGATTTCAGCACACAAAAAAAACTACTTCTACCTCAGTTAAACGAGATGTTTGTATCAGAATGTTTTTCCTAGATATAGATTCCAAGTTTCTAAACAAACAATTCTGAAATTTAAAAGTCTGTAATTTTACAATACAGTAAAATCTAGCACCATATAATACACTGATCATGGAGAAAAAAAAATTAAAGTATTGAATAATGTAAGATTCTTTAAAAAAATGTTACAATAGTGTTTGAGCATTAGGGGGCACACACCTTCGTGCCACATCAAAACATGTGTACTCACGACTTGAATGATTTCCTAATGATGAAAGACTAATGCAATGGAATAAAATGTACATTACCACAAAGAGACTTGAAATGAAATCTAAAAGACAATAAAATAAGGCTCAATCTTGTAAGTCCTTATTCACATAAATAGCCAGATTCAAGTAAGCTGGATTTCTAATCAACTACAGACCAAAGAAGTAGGGAAGATGATGCCTACGCAGCTCCTGCATCTGGAAGCTACTAAGATGACAAAGGGACTGGAACATCTCTAATATGAGGAAAAGTTGTGAAAGCTGGGAATTTTCAGCCTGGAAAGATTGTGGTCAATGTGTGTAAGCATCAGAAGGGAGGAAGCAGAGAGGATGGGGATTATTTTCAGCATACACAGCAATTAGTTAAGAAGTAACAGGCACATATGAAAACACAAGAAGGTCCACCTGAAAAGAAGGGAAAACTAGTATACTGGGAGGGTGACTAAGAACTGAAACAGGTTCTCCAGAGAGGTTGTGGAGATTCCTTCACTGGAGATCTTCAAAAGCCGATGGGGTAATGTGCTCTAGATGACCCTGCCTGAGCAGGTGGGATGAACCAGATGATCTCCAGAGGTCCTTTGTACCTACAACCATTCTGGGAAGACAGGCTGATTTATTCCAAATTGCTTTTATGGAAGTCTTCAGAAATCTCATATGGAGATTATTTTAGTGGAAAATCATTTCCAGTGGCATATAGATTAACATTATCTATTGGTGAACAAAACTTCTGTATGTCTTTTCACTGATGTGATCACTTTAAACAGCATCTCCTTGAACTGTTTCAAAGCACTTTCTAAGCATCATGGAGATGCATCCAGTCTGTCATAAAGATTTGAAGCATTTCTGGCAGTGAAGCTAAAAAAATGCTTAAGAACTCAAAGCAAGATTAGTCAGTGATTTGAACAAGAAGAGTAATTCTCCTGACTTTTTAAAAAGGACTTAAACTAAGAAGTGCTGGAAYGTGACAGTTACTCTCTACCATACATTAGAAAAAGGTTTGGGGTTTTTTTGTTTGTTTGTTTTTAAGTAAATCACAATAGAAAGCATTTCATCACAATCTGCAGCCAGGGAACTTGCATCTAATATCCTACTGGTAGGACAACGTTGTAGAGTAATAGTCTACCACATTAACAGGTTCTTTTGATTGTAGATACTTACAGCGCTCTTCCTTTTCTTTGAATAGTTCTTGAGCTGATCATAAATACTAGCAGATGGATTGCTTAAAGAGATTTGCATTTAAAAATGCCAAATTGACCTAGTCAGGTTATTCATTTCAGTTTCAAGCTTTAAATGAAGACTCTCTTGGATAGAAATATAACAGCAGAGGTGGTTAAAAATAAGGCTCAATCTCTCTGTCTTATCTCACAGAAGACAAGAGTACATGCAAGTAAGCCACAAACTCCACTGACAGCTTGGACAGCAAAAAATCATTTTCTAAGTTATTGATCAAAAAGAAATTCAGCTCCTTCGTTGCTCAATACTGAAAAAACTGCCCAAGGTGGCTCAAGAGCTGTGTACACAGAGCAGGCCACAGTGATGGATAATATTACAATCACTCTTCGATCTTCTCAATGCAATTTGATCACAGTTGTCTTAAATCTTGTTTGCTGGAAAAAACAGAATTCATCAAAAGTTACACTTCAATAGCACTGATTTGAAAACCAAGCAAAGCTTTACCTTATAGGCTGCGGGTCTATAGGACAATCCAGTAGAACAATTGCTCCAAGCAGGGGAATAATTAGGGACACAGCCAAAGTCAAGAAGGTCACACGGAACACCTTGCCACTGTACGTACTGCCAAACACAAACAAGGAATAGGTTTTTATCTTAAAAACAGCTTAATACAAAAAAAAATTTTAAATGCTCTTATTGTCTGTTCTCTTTACAAAAGAAAATGGAAATATTTTTTCCCCAATCACTGTCTCAAATGACTCTGAAGGTCCACTCTAACATACAGACAAGAGAAAAGGGCATTTAATCATTCTCAGTATTACAGGATCACAKAAGGTAACGCATTGCACACGTCCTATTTTCACACACATTACACATTAGAGCTGACTAAAAAACAAGAATTTGATGCGTTTTTTCTTTTTTTTTTTTTACTTGAACTTATTTTGACAGTGGTTTCCATTTTAGCAAAAAAAAAAGAAAATATTTCATAATTTTTCCAAAAGCAGAAACAATGATGTGTGGATTTTGATCAAGAATGAAGACAGTTCATTCTCAGCCCATTTGGAGGTATCAGTCAAACTTCTGCAGAGAAGATCACAGCACAAAGCTCAGCAACTCCTAGTCTTGAGCTAGGAAAGCAGTTCCCACAATTTTAGCAACTCTGAAACACCACCTGGCACAGAGAGCCAGTCTCCACATAGCATCAGACCAGGACAAATAGCTCAGCCTGATGGCTCTGAACTAACCCTTGCACTCTTTCCATCAGCAGCTCAGAGTGAATATTTGGGGCAAAGGGAAGGGAGGAGCTGGTTCCTCCATCAGCACCCAGCCAGAAAAGGGGCAGCTTCCAGAGCTACCGCCTCCAGCCTTGCACAAAAGAGTCTTGAGAGCTTAAGGATCGGTTCCTGGCATCACTGTTGGAGTCCCAGCAATAAGAGGCAGGATTGTGTTGAGCAGCAGCAGCAAAGAAGAAAACGCCAAGGTGGATCACCCTAAAAGGGATCTTATGCAGCCAAAAAGCAACTGCCTCATTCTGAGGACCCTGAAGGGCAGGGAGGAGAAGCTTCAGGGTGATCACACAGGAGAGGGGTCACTTTGGTTCACCATCAAGTCATCAACCACTTTACACAGTGGAAAGCCAAGCAAACTACACCACCACAGTTATGGCCTGAAGTTCTAGTAGACAACAACAGAGAACTGGGAATGGGATCTTCTTTGAGCTAGCCACATAATAAAGTTATTTTTAGACAAATGCTGGGTATTCATTCAACCACAGCCAAATATAAACAGACTTAAAGCCAAATGGCACACGTTGCCTGAGACAAGAGCACTGTGAGCAGTGAGGAGCCAGGCCAACRCAAAACACCAGAGAGAAAGGAATGGCCTCCATTCCAAAGCTTAGCAAATGGCCCTGGAGTATGCCTCCAGTCCTGGCCTCCATTCCCAGACCCTGGATACCCAACCGCAGTCCCCTGCACACTTGCTACACCAGGACAGCCCCTCTCTGCAGTGTGGCACCAGAGAGACGCCTCCCTCCTGCCAGGCCAGGCCAGGTCAGGCCACCGGAGCTGAGCCACTAGCACTTGGCAGCCAGAGTTCCCTCAGGCCAGGTCACCCTCATCTCCTCACCTCACAGCTCCGGCCAGGCCCTCCCACCACGGTCACCTGGGTACCCAGGCAGGTGGGCCCCTTGCCCCAGGCAGAGACCCTCCCCACTCCTCACAGATCAGACCAGGCTGCCCCTCCCCAAGCCCTCACTGCAGCCCTTTCCTCCCACCTTCCCCGCTCGAGGCCCACCTGCCCTCTTTGGCCTCCTGCGCCGGACTGTCCTCGGTGATCACCTGCGGCCGGAACGGGTGGCGCTGCCGCAGGCCCTCGGCCTCGTTCATGCTGCCCGAGCAGGCGGCCACCTCCGTGCGCTCCCGCATCGGCCCCAGCCGCGGTGCGGCCCGGCTCGGCCCGGCCCGCCCCTCGCGCCCGGCCCGGCCC